GCGGGGCGCCCCCCGCTGGCTGGGGGCACGGCCGAGAGGGGCAGGAGGGGCTGCCGGGCCCAGCGGGGCGGGCGGCTGTGCCCCCCGCAGCTCTCGCCCCGTGCTGCAGTGAGAGGTCGGGAGCAGGAGGTGGCACTGCTGGGTAAAAAAAGCAGCTTCGGCACGGGCGGTTCGTTCTGCTCACGCTCCGCCTGCGGGCGCTGTGCCGCACCGAGCGGAAAACGTCCAGGGCTTCATTCTAGCTGAAAATCAGCAGCAGAATCACGGCAAGGCACGGAATGAGAAAGCCCGGAGGCGAGCAGCGAGCTCAGGGCCGCCGCGGGGCCCGGACGTGCCCCCCTGGGAGCCGGTGCTGAGCCCCGTCCTCTGAGCCTCAAACCTGTACCTGGAGATCGGGGAGCGCTCTGCCCTGCCTCGGCGGGTGGAAGGCAGTTCAGTTAACGGCGGATGCCTCGCCGTGGGAGGTGCTATATCGTTATAAATATTTTACACTGATTTTGTAGAATTTGAACTTGACTGGATGCTTCCACGCTGTGTGCAGAGATTGTAACTGGAATCTATAGGAAGAAGTACAGCACAAATATTAATTATGCTCAGCTGCTTTTTTTTTCAGACTGAACAGAGCAGATAGCAGCTAAGCTGGGGATTCCCAGTTGAGCAGGCTCCTTCATCTTCTGCCACTTGCTTGAAGGTACAAGGAATTCACCAAGGAGAAGTCTGGGAAGGCAGAGCTGCCATGGTGCCAGCATTTCTTCCCTAGCATGCCAGTCTGCATACCTGCCATAGCTCCAGGAGACTGAAAACCAAGGTGATGAGTCTTTAAACCAGACAAAAAACAGGAAAAAACACTCTTGCCCTTTTCTAGGTCGTGTTGGAAGCCTGGGGCTCCCTTCCTCGTAGTGCTACCAGCAGAGCCTTCACCCCAGAAGGGCAGTTGGGAAGAGATGTGGTCCAGGCCCATCTCTTTTGGTACTAGGGGAAAACATCCCCTGAAAGTATGCAAGAGCAATACATTTCCTCCATGTTTTAGAGGATATGGAATGTTACTCATTTTTACTGATTCATGTGATGGGATATTACTCGCTTCCTTGTTACTAGCCCAATACCTGCGCTTTTCTCACCTGTTTTCCCAGAGAAACAATGCTGCCTGCACACTGCAGAGCCCTCACCTTGTACCAAATGTATTTTGCTCTTCTTCCTTCCTCATTCCCCTGAAATGTGCCAACCCTCTTACACACTGCTTGAGCTCTGCTTGTGGGAAGGGTCTGGGACATTTGCAGGACATCTTGCCATGTGAAATCGTCACTCATGTATTCCCAGTCCCTGTGTGGTTTGTATCAAAATCTGTGGGAGTCTTGCCTTTACTTCGTTACTGAATCTGGAAATGGCCCCAGACAGGCCCTTTTGGAGCAACAAAAGCACTTTTTAAATCGATGAGTAGAGTTTGTGATTTTGCCATTCCAGCGTCAGAACTTAGTAATACAGGCAGTTTCATTTGCAATAGCTACAGTGTTTGCTTGATGAGCGTCAGACAGAGAGTGAATCTGTATTTTTTATCATTGATATTAGTGATTTCACTTTCAGTGTAGGAACTTTAATGTAGGTCCTGATTGGTCACAGGAAGCGGAACACTTTGAAAATCATATTGCATTACTTTTCATCGTAGTGTTATATTACACCATTCTCTAGGGAATGAGGTGACCTGTTCAGGAAACTGTAAAGCGACTGGTCTGACAAAGTTGGGCAGGTTTCACCGGTGTTACGAAAAGAGGGTGAGCATGCACACATTAAGAGAAGAATCCTTTCTCTCCTCCCTTCCCCATTCCTGCCCATCTGGAAAAGAAAGTGACAGTGCAGCAGTGAACTGTTCTCCTTATTCTGTGGGCCAGTAGTGATTTGAGCCTAACAGTCCCTTGGTTTATTGTTGTAATTCTATTGAAGCCAGAGAAACACAGCAGCAGAGAAAGTAGACCAGTAATTCATTGCTCTGTCGACATCCTCAAATAGGAAGGACACAGAATAACTTTCTTGAAAAATTCCACAAGTTTTTCTTAAGTACTTAGCTGATTGTTTGCTATCCTCCCTGCTTCTTTAGTGAGTGGCAAGTGGATGATGCTTTGCGCACCCATGAGCCGCAGGCATCAGTGTTTGTGACAGGCTCAAACTTCCCTTCAGCTCAACATCACGTGTTTTAAAGCAGCATCTCCATCTGCAGAGGGGGCTGATCATATTTGTCTAGCTCGAGAGCAGTGATATGAGGCTGACTTGCTTGGAAATGCCACATGGAAAAGGCTACATTTTTATTACTATTTGCATTAATTACTTTTCTTAACTTCCTTGGCTGGATTTGAGCACTTAGAAGAGACAGAGCACTTTGCAAATGAAAGTACATTATTTTTCATCATATTATTGCATTACACCATTATGTAGAAAGTAAAGTGCACCCTTCAAGTTATAACAAGCTGTAATTTCATTGAACACTCCCTAGAATTTCTGGACCACAAGAGCTGAGCTGCAGTAATTTACTCACAGGAGCCAGAAGATCTAATTAGAAGCCCTTTAATACCCAACTGGGGATATGCTATTGCTCTGATACACCTCAGGCTGGATTAAGTGTTTCTGATGTGCTGAAACTGGATGGATTAGGAGCATTTTGAGTCTTAGGAACCATTCATAGCCAACCTTGGCATCACTGTCCTTTCCTGCTTCTCTGACATAGAGGTCAGAGCCAAGAGTCTGTTTGGCAATGGAAGGTGTGTTTTTTCCTGCTCCTTGGCAGGCTGTGCTCTGCTTTGTGAGCCATGAAGAACAAAAGTGAAGAATTACCTAGAGAAAATGTTTTCTGCAAAGGTAGCCGCTGACTTCAGGACCTATGGAAGGAAGGCACTCGCTGTCAGAGTTCTTGGGAAGTCTGCTTACAACACAGTGAGAGTCTCATTGCTCTACAGTGAACACCTCACATTTTGCAGCACTCCTCTTTGCTTCCTTGCCAGTGTTGTAGCTGGGCACATCTGGCTCTTGCTGGGCTCTGTGGATAACTGCACTTACGGGTGTGGGGTGCAATGCTCGGCTCAGTCGGAAGCACAGAATGTTGTGATACCTGGAGCTGGGTTTGAACTCGCTGTGAAGCATAAGCAGCTGGCTCACTGGTACAGTAATAGGCTTTATATTATAATATTATAATAGTACAGGCTCTGTCTGCATAGCAGCGTTGGAATAATTTCTGCTCTGGGATTTTGTAAGTTGTTCATACACGTACCTGGGACTAAGTGACCCCCTGATCAGGAACCACTCTTGGAGAGTTTCAAAGCAAAGCACTCTTACCATTCTTGGACTTCTGGGATTTAGCCTGAGAAGATTCCTGTTGAAGCATTTCCTGCTGATTCTTGGCCCTAAAAAGGAAGACACAGAGACCTGGGAGGAATAAAGAAACATTGTCTTGTCATCCAGGGATGAAGTTAGGAAAGCTAAAGCACAAATGGAAAGAATCTGGCCAGGGATGTCAAAGACCAAAAGGGCTTCTAGAAGTACATAGGAGACAAAAGGAACACTAGGGAAAACGTGGGCTCACTGCTCAGTGAGACAGGGGTCCTGGTTACACAGGACGTGGAGAAAGTTCAAGTACTGAATGCCTAATTGCCTCAGTCTTTACTAGCAAGACCGACCTTGAGGAATCCCAGGTCCCAGAGACCTGGGGGAAAGGCTGGAGCAAGGAAGATGGACCCTTTTTCCAGCCACTTTTGAGAAAAATGAGCTTTACATGTTACCCCTTTCAAATTGCTTCCAGTGGCAATTGTTTTATTAGGGCACTTTCTGGTTTAACTTCCCTCTCTGTTATGCTGCAGCTCACAAGACTTCCCTTCTGTTGTAAAGCAACATGATTTCACTGGACTTTTGTTTAACCAGATGCCTTGCAGGCTTTTTAAAATGACATTAACTGTGACTTTGTTTATCATGTGGGTATCACATGCCTCCTAAATGTTAGTCATTGCTAAACATAAGAGGGGAAATAGGAAGTAAATATTTTAAACTTATATTTTCTGGTAGATACTCCTTTGATCTTGAATTACATTACCACACATACAGAACGTTTTTAAGAAGTCTAATTAAATTTTGATTCCTTCAGCTTCTTCAAACTTCTGTACCCCTTTCTAAGTGAACAGTCTGAGTGTTGAAGTTTCTGTCTTGGCAAAAGTACCAGCCAGTATGGAAAGAGTCCCCAGGTTTCTTATAAAGAGACTGAACCAGGCAAAATCAGTCATAACAAACCACCTCCTCTGCATCAGCCCAGCACCTAACAGAGCAGGCAGCATATAGAAGGATACTTCTGGGAGGTCCTAGAATTTTGTGGAGCAAATTCTGAGTTACATCACTCAGTAGACGGTCTTCCATCTCTCTCAAGTTACTTCTGTTGAAGTAATGAAAGGCTCAACTGGTACCTGTAAAATACTTTGCCTTCATGCTTTGCCAGCCCAAGCGTCTCCAGAAGCTGTGAAGGCAAGGCAAACCGTGGAGGGCTCAGCTGGCTGCTGGCTGGTGAAGGTGGATACCGAAGAGAGTTCGCAGAAAGATGCAGCACTCACATCATCCTCTCTTCTAGGAGAGATGCTCATCCATTGTCCAGCCTCATAAGTTTTTCTCTCCAGGGGAGGGTCTTTCCATTAGGCAGTCTTTGCTTCAGAAATCCAGCCCCTGCCTTGTTAATTTACAGGTAATAAATCTAGAGGTAATGAAGAGGCCATGGTTATGCACCATAGGGTGCACGTACAGCACATGCTGGCAGGGTTTATGAGCCACAGTGTTTGCAGACCTTAGCTGTTAGGTAAATCCTGCCCAGTTCAGGGGAGATGCCTTTTTTGGCTCCCTGCTCTGCAGTGCCTTCCACACAGGCAAAGCCACGTGGAAATCAGGCTTCATTTACAGCCTTTGCAGCATGCCCTGCAGTCTCCGGACCATGAAAAACAAGATGTTGCCCAGCTCTGCTCCATGCTTTTCTGCAGGGTTTTCCGCTCCATTGAGAAGAAGTTCCAAAGCAAAGAGTGTTTCTTCTGCTCCGTGCCGTTCCTCGTGTGCAGCACTGCAGCATTATTGCTCCCGTGCCTCCTCTTAGCACAGGCCCTGCATGGGGGGACCCTATGGCCCATGCTGGTTATATTTCATTTCCATTATACGCTTTTTAGACAGAGTTAGCCTATTTTAGCCTTGATACCCATACCTACTACTAATTAAACACAGTCTGCATGCCAGAGCAATGACATAACCCAGTTAGTGCTCACACCATACTTCTGCCTTTGCACAGTTTTCACTGAACCTCTTTTCATTGAACCTCATACTCCAGGGGACACTGGTGCTCACAGCAGCACTGTAAGCACCACTCAGACTGGTGGGCATTACTGATTTGGTCCTGCAGTTTCAAAGTGTTGTATTCATTTTGATTACTTAACCCGTGGTGCCCTAACAAACCTTTGTGGTAGTCAGTTCTGTAAATCCAGTTCTTAAGGGCTGTTTTATATTGCAAACCCCCAAATAGAGCCATCCAGGGTCCCTAATAGCACTTGAAATGACAAGCCACAAAGAATCCAGATAAGCACATGGATGAACAGGATCTTTGTTGCAACGTATCTCACATTGCATCCTTGACAGCAAACAAAACTCCCCTCCCTGAAGCTGGAATTGCATGGGTATGAATTAGAGGTATGAATACTAGCTGCAGAATTCAATCCCAATCAGTTTGAATCCAGGCTGACCATAGCATTTGGTATCTGACACGTTAGATGAGTTCACTCTGTGGGGTCGAAGTCCACATCTGATTTACAGTCCTGACTTCTGATAGTCTTTCCTAGGATTCAGTACTGCCTTAAACACTGATCTGAGGTTACTTAGTCTCTCTCTGAATTGGTATTTGGGTCTTGCTGTGCCACAGGTTCCAGTGGAACTGTCTCAGAGAACTTTATCTCCTATATTTTCCAGTCTTTCCAGATTTACTGGAGTAACAGGTGTCATTTTGCCATGAGAGCACTGACATCACACGTTATCTGTGAAAATCCTCTTAGCAAACTCCTGACCCCTGTCCTCCATTCTATACTTCCAAGTTGATGGCCTGTTTTCAGTTAAGCCCTGCCAGCTAACTCTATTTTTCTCCTTCCCTTTTTTTTTTTTAATGGTGAGCTTTTCAGCTCAGCACTTCTTACTCCTGCCATGATAGCAAAAGCAATGTTGTTATGACTGCTGACATTTTTGTCGGAGCCTGCCAGTGAAGGTTAAGATATGCCAAAGCAGCTGCCATTGTATTTGCGAGCAAGACTCAATGTTCTGCTTTATTTCTTACTTTCAAAGAACAGATAGTTTCTTCTTGCTCTTGGGCAACTGCTGATGTGGCTAGAACTTGTCAGAGAGCAATTATTTATTTAACCTGAACAACTTTGAATTTATTCTCCCTTCTTTCAGTATGCATTATCTCATTGTGTATTTCAAATGTATATGCCTAATTTTGTGCTTGCATACATGAGTTACTTGAATTATTCTTTACGCATGCAGTATTATGCATGAAACTATAATCACTGCATGCACAAAAGAGGTCTGTGGCCATGCAACCGTGCATACCCATCACCATACGAGCCCCTAGAGCACACACACTGGTCTGTGACCAGTCGCCTGTCTAACAGCAGAGCAGAAAACTGTAAAGATTGGTGAATACAGGAGGCAAAGTCCAATTGAAATAATAGTGGGTAAGTCACGGAAGAAGAATACACTTGCCAGTTTTCAGGGCTCCTTTCTTACCTGTAAGCAACAGAGACTTTGGTTTTCTTTCTCATGTGAAAGACAGGAGTTCAAGGCAGGAGTGCTTCCTCCTGCCATTTGGACAAGGCACTGACGCTGACGTGACTTGTGGGCACGTGTCAGACCTCGGTCATCCAGCATCTGTTTTCCTGGACAGCTTCAGTCCAAGTACCACTGCTTTTCTTGCCCAGCCTAGCAAACAAGACCAGAGTAGTCTGGCTGTGAACGAGAAGCTGCTGAAGTCATTAGGAGGTCATTTATTTTCTGAAGGTGTGTGTCCTACACCTGTGTGTCTTTTTTTTTCCCAGTGTTTTTCAGTGGCAGCCACCAAACAAGGGAACAAGGGAGAAAAGAGTGGGAAAGAGGAACTCAGATGTGGTGGTGTCAGCCAAGTGAAAACTTTGGGATGATTGCACCCTGGGATGATTGCGCTCTGGGATGATTGCACTTCTTACCACGATGGAGTAGCAGGGGTAGAGATGAGTAGAGCCGTGTGTGCTCAGACCCTGCGGGAAGAAGCCTCCTAGCCCAGCCCCACCTGTCACCATGTGTACCAGTTGCAGTGTTTCTCCCAGGGCCATCTCCCTGGACTTCAGTCATCCTTCAGCTGATGCTGCACCTTTTTCTTCACGCTCTTCTTGGAGAGCCTTAACCAAGACTTACAGTCTGTGTCCGTTTTCCATTTCCTTTTGCAGCCTCCAATGCAGTTCAGATCTTACAGTTTTGGCCAAGGCTCATGTTTATTTTATTCCCCCCGTGTTTTTGGCAAGGCCCTTTTCTTCGCATAAGTGGCTGTGATGCTATTTCAGTGTGTGGTTGAAATTGCATGCTTTAGTGTATAAATCAGCTAGATGAGGAAGAAAATGTGTCCAGGGAGATTTCTTCTGTGGCACTGTCATATGATAGGCGTATGAAATGCGAGTGTGACAGAGTGAGAGCACATCTCCCAGAGCTTTAGATTTCAGCCCATAAGGATGTCAGAGTGCTCATGCTCATGGTTAAAGAGGGTTACAGCAAATACTGTGTTTCAACAATCACATTTCATTGAATCATAGAATGGTTTCGGTTGGAAGGGACCCTTAAAGATCATCTAAGTCCAACTCCCCTGCTGTGGACAAAGACATCTTTCACTACATCAGGTTGGTTGAAGCCCCATCCAGCCTGACCTGGAATGATGAGGCATCCACAGCCACATCTGGGAAACCTGTTCCAGTGTCTCACCACCCCCACAGTTACACATTTCTTTTACCGTTACTAGAAGAAAATAGATTTTTCATATTTTCATATTAGTCACCTCTGTGTGAGCAGAGTAGCCTTTCTGCCGACTGATTAAAGCGTGTGAGTGGCACCCAGGGCAGTGGTGAGGCTAACATTTAGGTACAGCCCTACTGGCCAGCGACTATGGGTGCTGTATAGGAAAAGACGCTCTGGCACCTGGCCTGTGAGCACACGCCACCAGAAGGAAGGTGCTGGGAGCTCGGGCGCACCCACGCTCGGTTTAGGCAGCTCAAGGGCAGCTGTCTTGCAGCTCCCGTCACCCCTGGGGCATATCAGATCAGGGTCTTCTCTGGGCACTGGTCCAGCTTGCCTGTGAACCACTGGAGGCTGCAGGGACAGATGGCAGCAGCCTAAATGGGGCACACTACCGAGCTCAGCCGAACTGCCGGGGATGTGGTCTAAGCATTGAGATGCTGGGGACAGTCACTACAGATGCGGGAGTTAAACAGCTGGAAAATTTCCTCGTCTAACTCTGAAGCCAGAAGGTTCACTGCAGGTGGTGGCCAAACAGGCCCAACCTCCGCCTGTGTTGAGGTGCCTGGCATCCAAACCCTGTTAAGTAACCCCCTGCAACTATTGGAAATAGTTTGCGACACATAAAAAAACTTCCTTTTTTCTCCTCTGTTTGCCCAGTATCATTCCAAACCCTATCCCCAGACATCTGGTGGTACATATCAAAGTAGTAACTCCCTCGTTGTGAGAGTACTGCAAAACCGAGCTGTATCACATGGATACTGGGAGACATCTGCAACGTAGCCACGTCTGCTGACGCTCTGCAAGAAGGAATGAGACTGCCATGTGAATGTAAAGGGAATCAGATTTCAGGAGGACGGCAGTGACAAAACAAACTCTCGGTTGTTGCTATAAGGACTCCCTCAGAGCCGACGCTGAATTAAAAGGTACATTTTTTCCAGGTCAGATCAGCAAAGATTTTTCACCATTCTAACCAGAACTGCCCTCCTGAGCTTGTGTTTCTCTCTATAACAAACTCCCAGGGTAGCTCATGTCCTTTATTCACCATTTCTGGCAACGTAGCTGATGCCTGCTGGTGCTTCTGAAATGGTATCCCAGCAGTCAGGCAGGGTTAGTTTCTATAGTGACTGGAGATTAAAGAACTAAACCTTAATCTGAATGTAATTTTTCAGTCCACTACATTCAGTTCACCTGGTTATTTCATGTCTGTCTTCAGTCTGCTACTTGGTTTCTTCCCAGCAACTCCCTATTGAAAGAGCAAAAATTATACAAGAACAGGACCAAAAAAAATCCTATCTGGAGGCACAGTGGCTCCTGTCTACAAGGCTGGGGACTTTCATCTTACTGAAGAGCCTGGCTAACAAACCAAGAACTGACCAGGATAGTGTAGGTAACGTGTTGAGGAAGGCATATAAAGGTCAATCTGTTCAGTCCACAAGCTGTTTTTTTCCCCACAGGAATCAAAATCAATTAATAGAAGCACAAAGAGACCCTCCCCAGTTTCAGCCCCATGCAAGCCATTTGCTCTGGTGTTTTAGCCCAGCTTTCATCCTCTTACCTTCTATTTAGACCCATAGTCTGTCTGTCACAGGACTTTCTGTGCAAATGAGCATTAAGAGCTGTGCTGAATGCCACCAGCTCAGAAAAATAACTGCTGTGCTTATTTTGCATTCACTTTGCACTGGCACAAGCCTCTGTGTTGGACAGAGACCAGTGAGGCCCAAATTGTTTTCTCCTGTGCGAGGAGTGAACTGATTTTATGTTGGAATGTTTATCACCTGAAACTCTCGAGCTGTACTACAGCGATAGCTCACCTCAGAGTCCACAACAGGAGTCTCTGTAATAAGTGTTGGCTCCTCTGCATGGGTACATGTAGGTCTACAGATCTGGATTTTGTGTGCACAAAAGTGCTGTCTGGCTTCCAGAGATTCTGAGCTCCCTTGGCTTCAGCCGTTCTGAAAAAACAGAGAAGATGTGACAAAGCTGTGACATAAAAGCTGTTCCCTGAATATCTATTTGTAGATTTGCAGTGTTCTCCTCTTTGAATATATTTTTTGAAAATGAATTACACAGTACAAGATCAAATATACAGAAATATATGGCAGAAAGTCCTATTAGAAAGTATGGAAGATAATTAATAAACCAAAACATCAATACCCAGTACCTGCAGAAAGGGATAATTGGGCTCTAATTACTTCCTTGGCTACCTGGTTAATCACTTCTATATGTTGTCTAAACCCACAGATTTCCTTTGAACTTTTGAATCTGATATTCTCAGTCATGTTGTAGTTATTAGACATGTACTTAAAGCCAAATTTGATGTCAACTGGAGATATAACACTAACAATTTGTTACTTGGATAATTGTTATTAATAAATAAGAAAAAATGAATTAATATTTTGACTATAAATGCCACTATGTGTGCTGTTTACATCGTACATGCTCTGAGGGCAGCCAGTGGAATCTGGCCAGTCGGGTGCACTCGCTGCCTTTGGTCGCTCTCACTTTCCATTCTCATGTGCCGGTACAAGATCCCAGCCCCTGGTTATTCACCTTTGAAAAGAAGGAGAGGTGAAAAAATGGTTTAAAGAGGAAATTTTAAATGATGTCATGCTAGTTCTGCAAAATGTGGGGGTTTTTTAGTAGATAGGGGAAGGAACAAAGTTCCTATCAGCTTTAAATAAACTGTCCTTGTTTCCTAGGTCCTACAAACCATGCGACGCCCAGCCAGGCCTCAGATGACCAGTTGTTTATGAAAAGCCATGAAGCTTCTTTGGCTGCTGAAGCCTCATAGAAAGAAGGTGGTAAGGAGGGAGCGGCCCTTGAGAGATGATACATCCATCACCTCCCCACTCCTCCGCGGAGCTCTGACTGTGCCACTGGTGCATATTTGCTTTAGTAGGCAAAGATTCACCATCTCTTCTTTCCTGCCTTCAGGTTTTCTTGGCGTGTCAGGATCTGTGTCTTCTCGGCACACCCTGTGACTGTAATTCAAGTGGCAGTGCTGGAATTCAGCATGTACAGCTCATGCCCTCCCCGTACCCCCCGACGTGTTACAGCCAGGCTCTGCGCCGGCTTCAGGGCACGCTGGAGTGTGACCTGGGAGGGACGGGGGAGGAAAGAGAACTGGGGACAGCCTGCGCGGAGGCGCAGCCGGGCCCGGGGGAGGCGTGAGGCCCTGGCAGCCGCCCAGCCCCGCCCGGGGGGCGGTGGGGCCCGGTGCGGGCGTGCGGGAGCGTCTGCACAGGCGCTGCCGGTGAGGTGGTTCTTTGTTTTGGAGGAGCCGCTGCGGCCGACCTTACCGGTTTTTGAGATAGTGAGAGGCTGGGCGCATCCTTCGCCTGTCCCTTCCCACCTCAGCCGTCTTTTATGCGATAATTTAGATACTAATTATTTCATTGTGCTGACATGTAAGTGAGCTCAAATTATGCCCTCTGAAAACGGGTTTTCGGAGACAGGCCCCTCCCGTAGAGAACCTCAGATGCGAAGCGGTGGCTTCCGAGCTTTACAAGTCCCAGAAGTCATGAGGCTTGGAGCTGAAACCCTCAGCGTAACTCGTGTGTGCAACTGCAGCCGGTGACACTGGAGATCCCCCCCTCTGTGCTAGTAACAAATCCTGCGGGCAGCGGGGTGAGGATCAGCGTCACTGCGGGAGCTGGTCAGTAAGGAAACTTAAGGAGGCTCCTTGTTGGACAGAGGGTGTGAAGGTATGAGCTGGAGGTACGGAGGTCTGAGTGGGAGAGTAGAGGAGCAGTAATGTAACTACCACTTCATCAGAAACTGTGTCCATCAGCCACAAACCTTAAAGTCGGATGTTCCGGCACGGTGGAGGCCTATAGTAACACACGTCTGGGCTACAGGTGTGGCCACTGGAGTAGTAATGCCCTGAGCCAGTGCAAGAAGGTCCTCCTGGGTCTGGGGAGCAAGTGGTGCTGCCCTTGCTGCTCAGTTAAGCAAGAGCAGCGTGTTGTGGGTGGGTTGATGTTTAGTCAACAGGATGATGCTTCTCTCAGGATAGATTCTTTGTCTGCCTGGAAATATCCGGAGGTGAGGAAGGCCAGGTGTCCTAGCCAGGCGGATTATTCCTCTCGGTGCTGGGGGATCCTATCCTCTCCTCTCTCATCGGGGGATAGTGGTGCCCCCCAGCTTGCAGGACTTGCACTGCTCAGCGATCCTCCGCAGCCTCACAGGGTTCCTGTGCCAAATGGACAAGTTTGTTGGAGCTTTGTATCCACTGCATCCCGCTCAGCTGCCTGATAAACCTACTCAACTGATCAGAAAGTCGTGCAAAATATGGAAGCAAACTGAAGATAGAGGAAAATCTACTTTGTGTAGACTTTGTGTTAGAATTAGATTGGGTTATCGGGCTTTCATGCCATTTTAAAAAAACGAGTTTTTGCTATTAAAAAGTTTGGGGTTTCCCTCCCCATGTACCCCATAAAAGTTTCTGGGCTTTGCTTTTTAAGCAGGTCTCTGGCATGATTTGGGCTCTCACATCTTGTTTAATCATAGCTAGGGATCCAGTAATTAAAAGCTGTTTCTAATTCAGATACAAAATAGAAATTGTTGGAAGACTACAGGGTTTTTTCTGTGTGTTTCAAGAGGTACTTTCTTCAGGAAGTGGGTTGTATCTAGCGGGTCAGCTCCTGGACTAGTCCGGTGAGTGGTTTGGAGCCTGTCTGCAAGCTGGTGGTTTTGTATTGAGTGGGCTGCTGTCCTTTGCACCAGAGTTAGGCAAACCTTGTTATTAGTGTCTTGTCTGGTCTTTCAGAGATTTGGTTTAGACCCATTCAAAAATAATTGGTGTGATAGTATCTTGGGCTGGGTTTCTAGGAATTTTTGCTTAGGGGGTTTCAGGGAGGAATCTTCTCTCCACTTGCTTCTCCGGTGTGGTGCTCTGATGTGTTCTCGGGTGGTTTCACGGTTGTCCCCTTCTAATGAAAGCTGGACTTTGGGAAGTGGAATCCCTGAGTTTAAGTTATTGCTCAGGTGAGGTTGCTTCCCCTTGACTGACCTGAAGTCTCCTCACCCCTAAAATACAGCTAGTGGTTCTCCTGTATGTCTGTACTCTGCGGCGTTGTGAAAGCTGATTGCTGCAGTGTGTGTGCGTACTGCCTGATGAAACGCAGAGAGGATCGCACCCGCTTCATGAGGATATGAATTTCTTCAGAACTAATAGAGGACTCATGTTAACTCTCGAGGGTGAGAGGGTAGTATTTCAACAGTGTGGCTTGTTAAAGTGGTTTGTGGGCAGCCAGCTTTAGGTGACCCTGTTTGAGCAGAGGTTTGGACCGGGTTACCCCCAGAGGTTCCTTCCAACCTCAACCAGTCTGTGATTCTCTGAACTTGGCACAGTGTTTAATAGTGGGTAAACCAGCATCTTTATATTTCACTCCCATATCTTCACTTTTTCCAATGTGAAGGTGGCAGACTAGCCGTGCTTTGGCAGGTCTACCAGAAAGTCAGTAGTCTGCTATGATTTAAATACTTAAAGTTCTTAAAACCCCTAAACAGTCGAGACACTGGATGTTGCCACAGCACAGTGAGCTGATTCTTTAAGCTTGAATATAAGTTTCATATTATTAAAATTGTTCCTCTGGCCGAGCATATTAAAATGGTCACAGAAGGAAAAGGGAAGAAGGAGGAAACAAGTGATTGTATGGATTAAAATGTCTTTTTTGCAAAATGAAATCTCTTCATGCTTTCAGAAGCATTTTCTGATAATGCAAAACTAGCTGACCTTTTTTATTTATAAAGAGGAGTCCTACTGTTGTACCAAATGTACAAAAATTTGTATCATAATTATATTGAACAGCTTTGATTTGGAACCTAGATCTGCCATACTAGATGAAATGCAAACACAGAAGGTCTCTGCTCCAAAGAGTTTATTAACTTAAATCCAAATTAGGTAAGTTTAGAAGTGTATCAGTGCTCCTGAATGTTTATGCTGTGCAGGAGCTCCCCTCGTATGTGCCTTCTATCCGTGCTGTGTTGGTCTTCCATCACTCCCTCTGTTAGTCCTTGCTTTGGACAGCAGCTTAATTCTTTAGTCTGACATGGGTCACACAAGCATTCCTGTGTAAAAATTCGCAGTGAATATCAAGACATTTAATGAGCTGGGAGATTTTGTCTGAAACAAGGCACTCTTCGGTGTGGCATTGTGTTAATTGCCCTGTTATAATCAAACATTATCTGAATGGTTAGAGTATTTCCCTCCTTGAGGTAATTAATATATTAGGTTAAAGTACTTAGAGTATGAGCTAACTTAACAGGCTGCTTCTGATTTTAAATATGTCAAAGCTAACAAATATCCAATATTGCAAATAAGAGTTAATTATTTTCTCTGAAGGACACTCAATCTGTGGTGCTGTTTTGCTGTTTTATCAGATGTTAATGGTGTTTCTTACTATGCTTGTTAATTTTGACAGGTCTTTCTCCTCTACAAAGAAGCTTTGTTGCCAAGAAAATGACCTACACTACTGACTGCAGATGTCTGCAAATGTAGAAGCTGATAAATGGTATCTTCTTCCCTCCCCATCTTTCCTGTGGAATTTATACTTCTAAGTATTTTTAAAATCAGACCTCTGTCAAAGACATTTGGATTACAACTGTGAGCATATCTATGCAAAGAGACGAGCTAACCTGAGCAATTTTGAGGTAGGTATGCCTACTATGACTTGTAACAAATGGGAAGAAAAGGCCATCTCATTACAGGGCAAAGAGCACTCTAGGCATATGTGTTGTAGATTCGGATTGATCTGCACCATTATTCATGTTTCAGCAGTGGAATATACGTGTGCAGTGAGTCTGTACGAGCACCAGAATGTCTAGCTGACAGATATGGAGGGTGACTGTGTTTGAACCTGCTGTAGCAATATTCAGAAGATTCCTTCCAGAAGAGCTTGTGCTGTATGGCCTGAGCCTTCAGTGTTTACCCATTCAGTTCTTAAATGCCATCACGGTCTGTAGAGATTTTCTTCTTCCAAGCATTTGACAAGCAGTAAGCAGTGGTTGAATTCACCTGGGAGGCAGGGGAGGTTTCTCTGCTTGGTTAGATAACGAGTTCGGGTGAAGTTAAAGACACCTGCCCTGAGCTGGGACGGACCTTTAGTGAGGACTGGGAGAGGAGCCGCTCGGCTGCCCGGGCCCCAGCGCTGCAGTCCCGGCCCCGGGGAGCAGCAGTGCCCATGGAAATGGCCGTGTGCCCGTGGCGTGCAGACCAGCGGGGCTCTGTCTGCGGCTGCAGCTTTGTCCTGCCGGGTGCAGGAGGTGGAGAACCCCAGCTCTGTAAGGGCAGAAATGCTCCAGCCTCCATAGCTGTATTTCACCTTTTAGCTGTCCTTTCGTACTGAACTCTGAAGGTGGAATGAGGAAGTCGGCTAACTTCCTCCCTATGGCCTTAGAAGAGGCCAGCGTGCACTGATAACATCTGTTGACTCTCCTTTCGTAAACTGCTTGGAGGCGTTATCTTTTTGGTGTAGGCGTTCATTCTGACACACAAGGGCAGTGGCGGTCTTATCAATTAATTGTGGGTTACAGCGAAAGGTCGCCAAACACATCTCTGTCCTCCAGAAGAGACTGATTATTCATTATCTTTTTTTTTTTTTAAAGGAAAACTAATGTGCTGAAAGTGAGTACCTAACTGAATCGTCCAGCATGCTGCATTGCTGTACAGTGTGTCTTCAGCAGACAATTCCCTTAAAAGCTTTTTTCATGAGCTCCAGCAATTCAGGCTGAGGTGATACTGGAGGGACACAGATCTGATCTGCTTACCTGTCTGGCTTAACAGCCTGATGGTGATGTTCCTGTGCAGGACGCAAGGTGGGCTGTCTGCCCCGCTGGTGTGAGCTGTAATTGGCAGGGAGGGGCTGTGGTTGAGGAGGGGATCCCTCTCTGCACACAGTTACTCCTCCTGCTGTGCCCAGACTCCAAGCAGAGCTGGGGACAGGGGCTGATTGCTCGGTAAATTCCTCTGTTATGAGTGGGCAGAACTTAGTGCAGGAAGCTTCAGACGTGTTCCTCAGTCAAACCTGGGCATTGTTACTTGGCTGTGGTAGCACACTAAAAGAGCATCGGGCAGAAAAGGGATTTTGTTTCCTGTGAGCTGCTTTCTTGAAAACTGGAGACACCCACCAGAGCTCCAGAAGTGAAATGGTTTGAACATTCATTCATTTATGAAATTATAATAAATGAATGTACCACCTTTTAGATGCATGTTGTAGATGGTGTACGAGGGACTTGGACTCTGTAACCAACTAGGTACCTTTTTTTAGTTCTATATCAATAAGTTTACAGTCTAATTCCATCAATAAAAATTGGTGTGCATTTCCCAAAAAAGCTGCTGTTGTGTGAAAATTGAACAATTCATGCAGTAGCTCTGAAAACCTGTAAGAATACATAGATTCTGTGTCCCTGACTGTATACCCCTAAGCAAAGCATTGATCTTTATTTCCTCCTCTCTAAGATGAGGTTGATCTACCTTTGTAAAGCATTTCATTTCATGAAAAGCATCATTTAAGTGTTGTTTGCAGTAACTGCAGTTTCATTATCCAAACTCACGTGATTAAAAGTGAATACTACTAATGTGTGGAGTGGCAGAGAATTTGAGTAGAAGATAAAGTTTTCTTTTGTTATAAAGAAATGGTCTGAAAGGTGAAATTGTATACACTGGAGAATGTTGCCCTAAAACTGCCCTACTGGGTGTCTAAACAGTTTCAAAGAATATTAAAGGGCACTGAGAAGTTGAGATGGATGGTAGTGCCATTGATTCCACTTGTGTGATGGGTTATGATAAGAAGTTTACAGTCTCCTACTTAGAGTCTCTTCAGAGATAAACTTGGCATGTTTCAGTATTTCTCGAGATGCGTGTGAACTGGTTGGTTTCCCTTAACAAATTCCTTAGTGGCCTGTCTTTGTCCTGGAGTTGTTAGCTGTTATTTTCCTGGAAGCTAGTTGCCATGGTGATTATCCTGTTAGCAAATAAATGTGTTTTTCATGACCTCCAGGTATCCTAGTTTGGAGAAAAAAAAACACAGCCTATTCTGGGCTGGATAGAAGGACGGAAAGCCCGTAGAGGCTCTGTGTGAGTGAATCGCTGCGGGTGGGGGAGCACTGAGCAAGTCTTGTGCTTTGGTGGGTCACAGCAGCAGGGTGCAGTGTCACTGGTCTGTAAGGAGCAGCAAGCGTGTGTTACCATGAGTCTGAATAATGGTTAGATGTGAGAAGTCAAAAAAGAGTGATTTTTGGTCAGGATCTGTTATGACTGAACTTACCAGATTCAGGCCAGCAGTGGTTGTCTGGCTAGTAAGGCAAAAAAAGTTTTGGTGGTGGAAAACAGCCCCTTCAGGGCGTGTGGTGCTGTGATCCTGCGCGGGGTCTGCTTTCCGTCTAGCTCCACTCTTCCGTGTTCCCTTGGAGCTGGGGAGCTGTTCGTGTTGTGCCCTTTGAGCTCCGCAGAGCCGGGGCGGGGAGCTGTGCTCTGGTGCTGAGCTGCGGGAGCTGCGGTGCGGCGGGACCCTCCTCCGGAGCGGGCCCTGTCTGTGTCCTTGCTAGGGGGCAGCGCGGGGTGGTGGAGCTCCGTGGCCGTTGATTAACATGAAATTCTTTGCCGGGGAAGAGCATGAGCAGGATATGTGAGCCTTCTCTTGACGGAAGAGCTTGCTTAGTTCATGTCGACTACCTGTGAGGCGTTTAGTGCCTGGTCTGCAGTGTCCTAGGGCTGGGGAATGAGGGCTTGTCGCGTGGGGAGGCTGCCACAGCTGCTGTTCACTAGTCTGATGAGCAGTTCCCATCCTAGTCACCTTTGTGCGCAGGTGTTGCTTTTCAGGGTTTGTTGTGCTGAAAGAGTTAGGTTTTCATTCTGATTTTCCAGAGTCCTTTAAATGCTTCATGTGCAATTTCAGTTTGTGGGAGAAGAATTCAAAGTGATTTTCAGTTTACTGTTGGTTTAACTCTTCACGAGTGTCTCAAGTTTTCATCTCTTAAAAGAGTCTGCTCTAGTTGAGACAGTCTTAAGAAAACAACATTTCTTTTTAAAAAGAAAAATTTATGTGTGTCACCGATGAGACTCCCAGAGTCACTTGAAGATATCCATTAGTTTTTAGGATCAGCTCAGAGTTAATGCAGGTACCCAGAAGATACCAGTTCTAACTGCTAAACTCTACTAGCTTCACAAACTTCTCTGGCTTCCTAAAGAAACGTGCCCATTGAGGGGTCTGTTTTGGCATTCACTGTCGTGGTGTGTCCCGGTAACTACTGACCTCAGTCCTCCTCTGCTGAGAACAGTCTCCCTCGGCTCTTCTCTGAGTGTGCTGAGTGTATTCTCTAGTAAACCTGCCCAAGGAGGCCTTCAAATAGTAATGTAAACAGCAAATCCAACAAAATCCTGTTTAGAGAACAGACAGAGAGGCTTTTTTGATTGCTGCTTAAATGAGTTAAGAAATTGTTCTAACTTTTTTCTTGTCTCCCCTTGCTCTGGTTCATAAGGTAGTTTTTCTATTAAAATTTAGACCCCTTTAAATAGCAGAGTTAGGGAATTGAGCAGAGAATGAGCAGAACAGAGGGGATAGCAGCCCTCAAGTGGAGGGTAACAAGGGGAGCAGCAGTGCTTTTGCTTGTTGGCTGTTGCCAGCCTGTGCTCATCTGACTGCCCGAAGTTGCCCTTTGTCTGTAAATAGTTTAAAGAGAAACTCCATGTAGTAGGGTACTCCGAGGTCGTTAATGGACAAGTATCTTGTGATGACACAGTTAATGCTTATCCTTACAGTTCAGTGGTAAAACCTCACACCTGTGGTTATTCAGGTATACAAGGAGATATTTTCACTCATTTTGCAGAAATGTAAGCTTTTAATGAAGTATGCTTTTTATCCAGGAAGTAAAGTCTTTCTCCATCTTTTTGTAAAAGGGTTTTGCTGAAATAAAAGGTCAGACTACAAACTTCCACACAAAGAGAGACAAATAACCTATAATCCAATGACTTTAGCCATTCCCTGTTATGTTTGTGTGTGTTTGTGGAGATAACAGTAAATAGGCTGTCTGAAGTTGAGCATGAAGCTGTACCGACAGTGAATTTTGGCCCGTCTCCTCAGGCAGTCTCTGCCCATCACAAAAAAAAACCCAGCGTGCTTGCACAGAGAATTGCTATAGGCACTGATGGTTGTGAAATTTAGAGGATCTTTACCCCTTTAAATTGGCACTTTGTTTTTTTAATAAAAATACTTGTGTCTTAGCAAGCTCCAGGAACTGGCAGTGGCGTGCTGTTGCTGACCCACCTCTTGTGTGTGCAGGGCTATTTGGGAAGTGCTAGAATAGCATGGGTTTTCTGTTCTGTGGTCATGTTATATGTGACTTTGAAAAGGTAAGCATGTGTTCCAGAGAGAAAAGAGCTGTCACGATGGCTAACCGTGTTGGGTTGCTTTGGGACTGGCAGCTCTTAGACTGAGCACCTCTGCTCCGCTGACACCCGCAGCCCCGCTCCTCCTTCAGAAGGCCCAGCAGGTGTGTGGGAGCGGTGAGGAGCTGGAGCCTGTTACTCCCTCGTTAGAAGACAACTAGCAATCATTTGTTGAACACTTAGTTCAATGGCAGCTTCTTACTAGCTCTTGCAGATAATGGTAAAAGGCAGGATTATTCTTGGACTGCATTGTTCTTGGGCTGGC